TCCGATCACCTCCCTCTTGTTGCTCCCAGGCTCCATTCTCACTACCAAGTATCCGGGGCTCACCAAGTCCGGCAACAGCGTCAGGAACTCCTTCTCCGTCACCACCGGGTGCGCCGAGTGGATCAAACCCCCGAGCGAGTCGCTGTACTCGAACTTCCCCAGCGTCTCCAGCGTCTCCGGGTCTATCATGATCGACCCTTTCTGAGTCTCCGTGAGGCAGACCACTCGGCCGTCTCCAAGCCTCACGACGCCGGTGTTGGCGTTGTCGGTGAGCGAAGAGCCCGAGAAGAGTCCGGCGAGCTCGCCGACGTAGGAGAGGAAGGTGTCGGGTTTGGGGACCTCGGAGAACTCCCGGTAGCAGAGCTTCTTGTTGGCCTTGGCGGCCTTGTAGGCCTCCGACTCGATTTGGCGGTGGCCGGCGGTCAGACGGCCGCCTTTGAAGCTGAGCTTGACTAGGGTTGCGTAGCCGTCGAAGAGGTGGCGAAAGTTGTAGTCGCCGATTTGCCATAGCCCCGGACCGTTCCTTAGATACGTCCCATTCTGCATGTAAAATTATGGGACCATTAGTTAATTGATTGATCATTAGTATTCTTCTAAAAAAATTTTGGATTGTACTTATGTTTAATTTAAGTGTATGGATATGTCAATAATTATTATTATTAACCAAGATATCGTAGTTAATTTGTAGTTTTTGTGTAGTACCGTAGGAGCTGTACATTTTTTTTTTTTTTTGATATTTGTTTAGTTTGGTTTTGACCCTTACGCGTAAACTACCTGGGATGTGTAAAAAATGTTTACTAATAAATATGGGACCATTAGTTAATTGATTGATCATTAGTATTCTTCTAAAAAAATTTTGGATTGTACTTATGTTTAATTTAAGTGTATGGATATGTCAATAATTATTATTATTAACCAAGATATCGTAGTTAATTTGTAGTTTTTGTGTAGTACCGTAGGAGCTGTACATTTTTTTTTTTTTTTTTATATTTGTTTAGTTTGGTTTTGACCCTTACGCGTAAACTACCTGGGATGTGTAAAAAATGTTAACTAATAAAAGACAATAATATGCTAAGACTATTGTCTGTCAAACATAAACAAGGCGCAAAAATCTAAGAAGGTGCTATTGAAAAATAATAACAACAAGAAAGTGTGTACAGAACTAAGTACAGATCATTGTTTCTGGTCAAAGAATTTTCGTTTCTATTTATTAAAAAAAAAAAATCTTGAAAGTGATATGTTATAATTTAAAAAACTAAGCCGAGGAATATGCTTCATTTGTATTTTTTCACACATCACGTGACGACAGTACGGATATTGGGCGATTAATCAAATATGTCTCAACATAACATGACATCAGTTGTTGTCATTGCACACTAAAACACATTCTCTTTGTGTAGGGACAATCCCATGAATAAACAAATGGATTTGTTCTCCAAAGTCCATGCTGAATATGCAAGTTTTTTTTTTTTGTTTTTTCTCCCCTAGAAATTGTAATATTAATATTGTCATTTTCCGAAGAGCAAGAGAAGCTGTAATACTGTTGTTTTTGCTAAGCAAAAGAAAGAGGGAAATTTGGCATTACGAAACTATATACAGCATCTAAAAAAAAAATTGGCATGCATTAAAGTGTTCATGTATTATAATAAAATGAAATGAAAATATGAAGGAAAAAAAAAAAGAGAGAGACTTAAACACAAAATATAAACAAGCAAAAAAAAAAAAAACTTGCAAAACCCAATATAAACATGAACTGATTGAAACTTATTGAGTCATACCAATCTAGAACCCTAACTAATTAATAGTTAATGAATAATAATTAAGTTACATACCAGCCAGAGTGGTATTTCTCCATCTACAACCAACTCTCCTTCCCATCTCTCCTGCCTAACACTCGTCCAGGCAACATGAACATGGCTTGGATCCCGACCGTCGCCACCTTGGTACGACGGCAGTTGTGGTGGAGAAGAGGTTTTCGGCAACGGTGGAGTTGCGACGTTCGTGACCGTCAAGCCACGAACGTTGCGTTTGCTCGAAACAAAGCCCTTCTTTTTGGAAAATCCATAGGATTTAAACTTCTCAGGACCTACGGCTTTACTTGGCTGCAAACTTACAAAGTTTCCGATGGTTGAAGATGAATTCATGGAAGCCATTGATACTATAGCAAGCTAGCTAGGTATAAACTTCTTAATCACTAATAGTAGTAATTAAGAAGTGTGGAAAATTGGATTGGAATTTTTTGGTGTAAGAAAGAGGAGGGTGTATGATCTATTTATATATGGACGGTTTTGGAGGATTTGTTGTTCATATAGCTGAGTTGGAAACTATGCTTACATGAAGGAATATTGATTGGTGTAATTCCTTTTCACTACAAGACACAGTCTATTTTATTATGCTATATATATATATATATATATATATAGAATCAATATTTGTTTTGGGAATTATAAGTGAATCTGGCTTT